TGCCTCTTGGAGAGGGAGGGCAGAGGGAGGGCAGCAGTGACTCCCGGCTGCCAATCCTGGATGATTTTGGGCACATGAGGAGCCCAGAACCCGTGTTCCTCTCAGAGGCATCATATATTTAATCCCTTGTTTGGCAGCATCTTCTTTCAGAGAGGGACAAGGGCTTGCTTCCTCCTATTGTCCAAGCCATTTCCTTGGTTTGATAAAGGACACCCTATTGCTCTCTACAACTGCCTGAAAGGAGGCTGTAGCAAGGTGGATGTCAGCCTCTTCTCCCAAGTAAGCAATAGGACAAGAGGAAATGGCCTCAAGTTGCACCAGGAGAAGTTTAGATTGGATATTAGGAAGAATTTCTTCACTGAAAGGGTTGTCAAGCACTGGAACAGGCTGCCCAGAGGAGTGGTGGAGTCAGCATCACTGGAGGTATTTAAAAGTCACGTATATGTGGTGCTTAGGGACATGGCTTAGTGGTGGACTTGGCAGTGTTAGGTTAACAGTTGGACTTAATCTTAAATGTCTTTTCCAACCTAAATGATTCTATGATTCTATGGTTATTGTGGTGGTTGTCACTATAGTCGATGGTGGTGGGTTGACCCTGGCTGGCAACTAAGCCCCTACCCAGTCTCTTGCTCACTTTCCCCCAGTGGGATGGGAGGGAGAAGCAGAAGGGCAAAAATGAGGAAAAAACTCATAGGTTGAGGTATAGACAGTTTAATAAGTGAAGAGAAAATAAAATAAACCAAACCAAACCACAAAAACACAAAACTCAAGTGATGCAAAGGCAATCACTCACCCAGTACAGTAATTTACTGTTGGACGCAGTGGCTGCAAGAGCAGATATGATTGTGCTGCACCTTACCTCCTAATTATTGGCAAAGACAATTTCCTTCTCCAGAAGCCCCGCACTGTCATTGTGTTTCTTTACATAGGGACTGTGCTCAGGCTTGCACAGGCTGTGTGAATTTTACTGTAGAGGTTGATCCTGTTAAACAATTGTAGCCACAGCTCCCTCAGTTTGTTGAACAAGGAGACACTGTAGTTATAAGATCACAACTATAAGCCCTGTTTTACGATTTTTATGAGCGTTAATGGAACAAGATTTGGGGACTGAAGGAAAAAATGGACTATGAAAAAGAAAAGGAGGCTGTGAGGAAAGCATGTCATTTGTAAATGAATACTCTGTGCAGAGGAATTGAGTCTTTTCACAGCTGAAAATGGATCTTAAATCTGATGCCTTAGCTTGTTTCAGCTTCTGTAATGAAATAGAGTTCTCCTAATACCCTGTGACCTGAATTCCTCCCTGCTTTATGGGTACTATTCCTTGACGTACAAACCTGTATTTTCTCAAGTCAGCATTTGATGATGGATGTCAAAATACAGGTCATGTACTATGCATATAGCATTACCGATTTAAGGTGTTTACTTGTCAAGTTGAAGAAATTCAGAAATGTCACATTCACTGAATCTGCACAGCTGTCACTTGTAGTTTTTCATGCCTTTAAATGAAAGTTCTGATAAAGCAGGTTAGTTTTCCTGCACTTTTTCCCCCCTCTCTTCTGGAGGAAAAAAGTAGAGAGCTTATGTGTAGAATTTACATTCTGACTTAGGAGCA